GACTACCGAGAATAATTCCGATCGAAGGCAAATCTGGGGGATTCCTACCCTTGATCCCCCTTTTCGCCGGATTAAGTGCCTTGGGGGCGCTCGCAGGGGGAGCTGCAGGTGTGGCCAAAACGGTCGTTGATGCCAAGAATGCACAAAAGAAATTGGAGGAAGACCATCGCCATAACAAAGCTATGGAGTCTTTGGGCAAAGGATTGTATTTGAGAAAAAATGCTAAAGGTGGTTATGGGTTGTACCTCAAAAAAAAAACTCAAAAAAACTAAACATCAAGCTACCCAAGAAAGCGCTTTATGATTATGAAATAAAGCAATATGCGAAGCTCTTGAACATACCTCATTTCCGAGGTGTCTTCATGCGTGACACTTTACCACGAGACGGTCCACGTAAAAGAGAATGCGCCGTCGTGAACTTAGATATTTCACAAAACAACGGAACTCATTGGGTAGCTTATAAAAAGATAAACAACAACGTTGAGTATTTCGATTCATTTGGTAACCTGAAGCCTCCACAGGAACTTGTTCGATATCTGAAAAACGCTAAAATTTTCTACAACAACGATCCTTACCAAACTTATAATCAAGTTAATTGCGGACAATTGTGTTTGAAATTTCTAAACAATAACAACAACAACAACGATGGATAATAAAACATTATCGGAATTTACATTAGAAGAGTTTGAGAAGAATATTCCGCCGCTGGAATATTTAATAAGCAATGTGAGACCTGCAGAATTATTGAGTATATGGCACAAACTGCCTGCAGAATACACATCCAATTTTGATCTTCAAATACGACTTCCATGCTATGTTCACTACAACAGACCTGATTGGACAACACATTGGGATGGACCGGCTACTGCTCAAGCAAATTGTTATTTCTGTAAATTATCCATTCGAAAATAAACAAAAAAAAAAAACTTGAATAAATGCTTAGTACACAGCTATATTTTTTCATTCATCATGTCGCAGTTGTTGAGAGTCAATAGCACTACTCATATATTTTCATTTCGTCCTTCAACACCGATAGTGTTGGATCCGAAAAAAGATTATGAATTGGCGCTTAGGTCTTTTACTTCATACAATTCCATACCGAATATTGAAAAAGGAGATAAATTTTATTATATCGACCGGATAGGTGGTGGTGGTGGTCAATTAAAAGTCATCGAGTTTCCGACAGGTTGTTATGAAATTACCGACATAGAAACATTTATACGAACGCAAATGAATCTTGAAAATGAAGTTGCTCCTCCGGATGATTATTTTTCTCTAAAACCTAACAATAATACACTGCAATGTGAAATCTTTAGCAAGTATTATAAAATAGTTTTTACAGAACCGAATAATCTTGGACATCTATTGGGATTCTCGAAAAAAGTTCTTAATCCTGGTCAAAAGCATTCTTCTGATTTACCTGTAAACATAATAAAAGTATCAACCATACACTTTGATGCTAACATTACGTCGGGAGCCTTTGACGGAGACACGCCTGCACACACGATCTACGAATTTGCTGTGACAGCCGATCCTGGATACGCTATAGTCGAAACACCTGTAAATTTACTATATCTACCTGTTATACCGAAACAAGAAATAACCAACATCACAGTGTTGGCTTTAGATCAAGACGGTCGTCCTGTAAACTTTCAAGGTGAAACTAGTACTCTTGTGTTGGAGTTGAGAGCGAAGCGCAGATGGGATTAGTGATTATAAGACATAGTGGTGCTTCCAAGGCAACTTCAGTATTACCCCAAGCACCTAAGCGACGACATCTACTACTAACTACATCAAATATCCTGTTTCTACGCTCACTTGGATATCATGTCAACAACAACAAGAATCATGTACAAAAAGAGAAAAACTGAGGAGGCAGCAGCAGCAGCATCACATACTTCTCCGATGTTTGATCTATATCGATCTCCAGCATTCGATGAATCTATTCGCAAGGCTGAGTATAGATCTTATACGCCGTTCATCAAGTCATTTAATTGTAATGATGTTGTGGAATTTAGCATCAATCAAGTAGATTCGTTCTTTGCAATGAACGCTTCCCTTCTATCTATCAAAGGAAAAGTTGAAATAACTGGAGGAGGAGGAGCAGGAGATGTATCTTTAGCTCCAAACTTTGGTGCCTTCCTATTTGACTCTTGCACTTACAGTGAATCCGCTAGAGAAGTTGAAACAGTACGTGATCCTGGTATTGTAAGTACTGTCCGAGCTTACGTATGTTACAGTGAGGAAGACTCAAATCATATGGCTATAGCTGGATGGAACTATCCTTCAACACCTATAATGGCGTCAACACATAACAAGTCTTTTAGCTTGCTAATGCCGCTTAAACATATTTTCAACATTTTCAATGATTATCCTATGATTACGTGTGGCAGACAAACTCTCAGATTTGTGAGAGCTAGAAACGATAACGATTGTATCATTATCAAGGAAAAAACTGGAACGACGACGACAGCGAAAATAACTATTGAAAGCATGGAACTGAAAATCAAACATATTTACCCGAGTGATGATGTGAAAGAACAACTTTTGAAAGCTATTCAAACTGATAAGCCGATACTTATACCGTTTAGAAAATGGGATCTGAATGAACTGCCTGCAATTACCGCAGATGCGAGAAGAGAAATATGGTCAGTTAAAACTAGCACCGCAATCGAAAGACCACGTTTCATTATAGTATGTTTCCAAACCGGTAAACGTGACGTCGCAACCTCAGACCCTACCCTGTTTGATCACGTGAATGCTGCTAGTATTCGAGTATCTTTAAATGGTGAATACTATCCCAACGAACGTATGCAATTGGACTTTGCAAACAATCACTTTACTGAAGCTCATTTCAACTATAGCGACTTTCAAACCAGCTATACAACTTCTTCTTCTCCTCTGAAGAGATGTCTTTTAGATTATACCGCTTTTAAAAATCGCGCTTTGTTTGTTATTGACTGTTCCAAACAAGAGGAAACCATGAAATCATCAACTGTTGATGTTAGATTGGATATCGAAGCCGATACTGGCTTTCCAACCAACACCAAGGCCTACTGCATCATTATACATGACTGCTTAATCGAGTACTTCCCCCTCACCGAAGTTATTAAAACCATCTCGTAAGCAACGAAGGACTCTCAGTTCCGCATCAGACATCATGAGGATCGCGTTTGTTGACATTCAAGGCTTTACAGTTGACGGATTATTCGTACCTAAAGAACTATGTATCGAAATTGGTTTCAAGAAAAGTCATTACATCTTTACACCTCCGCAACCTTTTTCTACATTAAATACTAAAGACAAGAAAACTGTCGCTTACTTGGAGAAGAATTTCCATGGGCTTAAATATTCTTCCGGCGACGTTAAATATTCCAAGTTAAATGAAATAATTAAAAATAAGGTGATATATGCGGCTGACTATGTCTACGTTCGTGGAGAACAGAAAGCAAACTTTTTACTCAAGAAATGTCACATTTTTGGTGTTTTTCCCAACATTATTGATGTTTGCAAGTATGATGGTACACCGTGTGCTACTGGAAACTTTGTTGCTGATTCCAATCCATGCCACACCAACGGACAATTTTCCTGTACCCAGAGAAATGTTGAACGTCTACGCCACTGGTTTTCAAATATCATATTACCTATGTAGTTTTTTTCTATTTTCAATAAAATATTAAACGTATTATTGTAGTTTTATTGAAAATACCTCTGGTTTGCGAAATAATTGTCAGAATGTCTATACTATTTTCATTTTGAACGGTATCATCCTGTATAATAATAACAGTACATCGTATACAGGTTATGAGACATTCTGACCGACCGACCGACCGACCAGAGGAGCCCACCACGCTATTTAGGTCACGCCTTGCTATATACGATTTAACGATATACCGTCGGTCCATCGATCCGCTATTTTTCGATGCACCCCTGTATACACGTTGCCCCCCGTAATCCACGCCAACACCAGACAGGTGCGACATCGGCGCCATCTATGCGCGAGATGCCCAACCCATCAATGGCAGCTGTCCAATGACGCATAGATTCCGTTAGGTTTGTACACCGCCAAACAAATCTACGCCATTTATGCGCGAGATGCTCAACCCATCAATGACAGGTGTCCAATGACGTATGACAGATGACGTGTAACGCCATCTATGCGTGAGATGCCCAATGACGCATGACAGGTGTCCAATGACACACAGATTCCGTTTGGTTTGACAGCGCCATCTAGCGGCGGAATCCCCAACTCATGAATTTCGATTACAGATTCCGTCCAACAACCTGTCAATGGCGCGCGACGCCAGCGCCTCTGGTGGCGGATTTTGGAAGTTTTGAGACCGAATCCCCATAAGACATCTACTTCCCTCGTAAACAGGGTGGCCCATCCATGTGTGGACGGAATATTACTCATTTAGAAATACATTTTGGGAAAATCTATTTATGGCATGTTATACATGACATTTGAGGGCACATTTCTAACATATTGGTCATTATACAGGGTGTCCCAGCACTCCAAATTTCAAAATGGCGGGGTTGCCGAAGTGGGGGGGCTTTTCTAGACAAAACACCTTATATCTCAGTAGCTATTTACCATAACCCCATAGTATGTTATATCAATTTTCTTCGTTTGAATTGGTTTATCCAAATATGCAATAAAATTTGAGGCATTCTATTTGAAAAATCACAACTTTGAATATGTAGGTCGAAATTGGGACACCCTGTGTAATGACCAATACTTTAGAAATGTGCCTTCAAATTTCATGTATCACATGCCATAAATAGATTTCCCCAAAATGCATCTGTTTATGAGTAATATTCCGTCCACACATGAATGGGCCACCCTGTATAGTTATGAACCAATTGATTGAGTTTTGAAGGCTGTTAATATGTTTTCATCATACACCTCAATCAAAGAGGGCATTCGAGAAAAATAACCCATTTAAGGCGCTGGATGTGAATCACATATGCTTAATGTATGACTTAAATTCGCTGCTTTGTTTGACGGGATTTCAAAAAATACTCATTCAGCCTTGTTGTTATGAAGTTCTTTGTAAGAAATCATACCCAAACCCTTGCCAAATCTGCCTGAACTCTATAGAACACCGCGGTATTCGTATTTATCGCCATTTCCATCGGATCAAGCACCATCTGAGCAGCTGTGAGGTGGTATCTGGCATTCGCCCATTTGCTTTGCGCCAAAAACAGTGAAGCCAGCCTGTAACACCTAACTGCCCATTGAATTGGGTCACCATCGATCGTATCCAACTCCTTTTGGAGACTTCTGTGGACCATGTCTGCGTACTGGTCGGTCAGACCCAGTTTTCCGTAAATCCAACCAAGCATTTGCATGTTGTTGATCACCAGTTTGTGGATTTTAGAATTTGCAATGGCTTGGTCAACTTGGTTGTTTGAAAACAGATCATCAGTGCTGTAGATCAAAGGTTCTATTTTCAGCTCGGCGTTTACTATGCTTTCTAGAAGGTTTTTTGCTTGGTCAAGATCGCATGTCCTTGAGAGGACGTAGGAAAGGTAGTTTACAATTCTTAGGTATAAAAAATGTATCTGAGGATGGTCTGAGCGGTCTTTAATGATGGAAAGACCTTTCTCCAGGAATTCTTTGCAGGGTCCGAACTGGTTTTTGCTTAGACACATCTTGGCCTTTTCGTATAAAACCGATGCTTTCATAGACAGCAGTTTCATATATTCCGAAGAGTCTTCTTCGGCTTGTTCCAAAAACTGGTCTATCATCGATTCTGTGAAAGAAAAATGGCTTAACTTTGTTTCATTCAGATAAAAAATCAGATGTACCTGAATTATTTTGGGCAGGTTCAACGTCAGTGGTAGACCGACATTTATGATATTCTTTCTTCAGTTCTGCCAAAACTTCCTTGGTTAGCACTCCCATTTTTGGGATCGAACTCGTATTTTGCAAAATGACACTATAAATTTTTTAACTATCCAGAATGACAGCTACCGGAGTATAATAGCAGGTGTTTAAAACATATAGAGCGTGACGTAGTTTTATTTTGCATTTAAAAAAATAAAACATCTCCTCTATAGTAACTTTCCCATAGTTGTCTTGTCTGGTCAAACTTATGCTTGACTGGCACACTTTGAGAGAGTCCGGTACGCAAGTAAAACTGGGCAATCAAAATACTATAAAAATTTCGATGCCCTTACTAACTCACACAGTATTTTATAAAAACGGAAAGTATGATTTTAGCACATGTGAGATTGTCAATACAAATTCTGAAACTTATGACCATCACGTGGCTCTTTCTTTATCTCGTCGAGTTTTCTCTCGACAATAATTTAGCGTTGGTAGATATACGGCAAGGTTCAAATTTAGCTGACGTCATAATGTGTACGAGAGAGAAGCGTGCAATATGAGTGCGCCGATGGCAACGAGCTGCGTCCGTGTCCTCGTCACTCGAGTTGCTAGGAAACGAGGTGCTTCTATCTCTTTCTAACATACGTATTGCACGCTTGTCTCTCTCGCAGTGGTATATGGATTTCACTGTAAGACTTGGTTCGGTGTGGTAAGGGGACCTGTCTATATTTATTTGCTCTTGTCCAATCTCCTTTTATTCACAGAGTTGTCAGATATCATGATCCCTATTGTTAGTTGTTCGCAGTATTATTATTTATCCTAACGCAAATAGAATGCTATTTCACGAGAGTATAGGATATTTTAGCAAAGAACTACCAAACAGAGCATGCGCAGATCGTAATTACCGTTCCAACAGAAAATGGAGTTGATTCCATAACTGGCGGTTCTCTGTTCCAACAAATTCCGAACTGATGGTTCTGAGAGAGAAGAAAGTTCGGATTTGATAGCACATGCGCATTCACAAAATAAATGACATCGATGACGTTCATAGCTGGGAAGCTGGATTTCATGGCTACGATTTTGTGCTTTTTCTAATCTTCTCACATACCATACCTAAGACTAACCGCTCAGTACCGCTTTTATTACACATATTAAAAAAAAATTGGTGGCAACGAAGAGATTACTTTGGATAATGACTACCCCAGACGACTCGAGCAGTCTTTGAAAAGGTAAACGTCAACGTCTTATAAAAAAATCTGTAACTTTAAGAAAGGATAGCGGCAACACTGCCACCCCGCTCAGTGCGCATGCGACTAGCGACTACTCTACCACCAACAGCAACGGTGTGCGCTTCTTCCTGTCGGAACAGGTATAGTCTAGTCTTTTATGGTCTAGTCTAGTGTCTAAATTCTGTACTAGGGTGGAGTCCGCAACAAAATTTGGATGAGAAGTGAAGAAGCGGGTTTTGTTGATCTGGTTGGTATTAACGTTATTTTCTATGTTCTATTGTTTTTTAATTTTCCACGCATAAGCCAGAAAATTAATTTCTGTTTGTTTTTAACTTTTATACTATAACTATAAAAGAATCGTGTCTAAAAAATGACAAACGGAAAAATAGAAATTTAATATAATATCAATTACGAAGTTTTTGGTCCATGCTCCAGCTATCATGTTTTTCTCGTGATTAAGAATTTTATTTTGATTTACATTCAGTTTTATACTTTATAGAAGTCGTAACATATTTGTTATTGTTATTTTTTTTATGAAGATGTATTTTTTGTTGTTTTGTCTGACATTGTTATGTAGAGAAGTATGTGATAGATTATATTATTTTGCATTTTTGTTTAAATATATGAAGATTGGGAGAGCTTGGTTTGCTTTATTTACCCTTTGATTTCGTATGATTCAAAATTAAAAAAAAATGTATGTACGTATTTTCTACAGAAATTACTGTAACAAATTCATATGTCTGCATATGTCCTTGATTTTAATGTTAAATCATTATAACACTTCAGTACGTCACACTGAGAATTTACTTTCCATTTGACCCCTCCCAGACTGAAATCCTGGGAGCGCCACTGTAACTTAGAGTTGTTAATATTCTACTGAATTTCATCCTCTGCTACTGTAGCTGAGTATAGTTCCTCTGAATGTAAAACGATTAATTATTCCAGCTCTAAAATATTTCACCAAGCTATACTCATCTCTGGTTGAATCAGCCATTCAGCCAAGTGGATCCCCCATTTTTTTTTTAATTTTCAGTACATCACGAAACAAATTATCTCAAATTCTACGTCTAGCATAAGGAATCTTTACGACTTTAAATTTTACTTCAAATTTCAACAGATTAGTTCGGGACTAGTTCTGAACTGTACTACATCGGGCATGCGCAGTAAAATAATTCTGTATTGTTCCGAACTAGTGCGGAGCTGCTTCTTGTAACAAGCCTATACTCCACATTATCTAAAGCCAAAATCACTGAAGACGACCCTGGCAATTTTTGAATTTGAGTAGATGGCTCTGCCTGGAAGTGTCACGTTCACGTTGACACTTTACAGGTTAACAGCTGATAAACACAGCTGTTGCGTGTGATTTATGTTAATATCTTCTAATGTGTACTTTCTTGAAAATAGTGTACTTTGTTCAATCTAATCGGATTACTTCATAAAATTAGAGGAATTTGTGACACACAAGTGCGTTTTATCAAACTTTCTTATACAATGTAAAGACTTTTATTTAATCGTAATCGTATGCAGCAGTTTTATCACTATTGTCTCGATAGATGTTAAATTTGAGTACCAGCATAATTTTATTAGTGATAACTGAATTATGTGATAAGTATCATATAGGGGTTGAGTGTTGAGAGAAACGTAAACTTCTGAAGTACATCATTTAAAAGGTGACAATGGAAGGTGAAGATTCCTCAATTCATGATGCAGGAACAGCAGAATCTCAAGAAAATTTCGTAGATGCAGATAGTTTGCCCCCAGGATGTTACAATTGGTTTTGCCATCCTGCAGGGAGATGCCACAGGTTTATTGCCCTCATTTTTATGTGCTTTTTAGGATTTGGTAAGGTTTTAACTAATTTCATTTTGAATATTGACCTTTCATCTAGCATACATATTTTCAGCATCTCAAATTTGTTAGAATAAGAAACAAATTATGCTGCCTGTAGCATACATTTTTAGCAAAATATGTATTTTCGTTTCACATTCATTTGAAATAGCACAATAGCTATCATACTATATTTCTTATTCTAGAGAATAATATGTTTTTAGTAGAATAAAAAACTGATCAACAGTATTTTTCACCCACTGTAGAACCACCTTCAATAAATGCTTCCACATGTTATTGAAGCAAGATTCATGTAAAGAAAATACGTTATTTATTATCAGTGAAGCAAAATAATATGAACTACTTAAAAACAGATAGCTTAATGAACTGAATATTGCCTGAATGAAATGAAGTATCGTTTATTAATTTTTTTATGATTTTATGTATTATGATGCATATAAAAATCTGTAATTATTATTTATGTTATATGATATATGAACAAGGAATGCATATCTGAGAATAGCTGTTGTAAAACCAATAATTGGTATTATAAAATCAGAATAGTTGTTTCCTTTATTTGCATTATCTGTATCCAAAATGGGCAAAAAATCTGGCACTTATCACATTTGTTTACATTGACTAAATGGTTATGAAATATCGAAAGCAGGTCAATTATACAAATGTTGAATATATTAATTTATTATTTTATAATTATTGCACTTAACTGAAAAATTGAACATATCAGGGAAAGAGCATCAATTGATTTACTTGGTTTCTTTATGATGCATTTTCTTTGATCAAATCCATTTCCCAATATTAGAACATAATACATGCATGATCTATCATATATATTCTCAGAATATCCCTGTAGGAATAGGGCATAGAAAGTGTTCTCATAAAACAAATTTCAAGAAATCATTTGCATTTGAACATCTGCATATAGGAAACTCTCCTATCTCATCTCATGATGATAGAGATTGGTTTGTCATCTTATCTGTCAATTAAGAAAAACAAACATAAGTTTGTGTCCATCCGTTGATCAGAAATCAACAACACAACACTTACATGATTGAACTGAAAATTTTCGAGTATCCACTGAGTGCCAAGCTACTTTGTTTTAATTTTTATTTTATCAGCTCTGGATACTCTTCAAAAGGAAAACAAAGTTATTCGAAATTATGGCACATTGTTCACAGTCCTGCATTTTTTTCTCGGTTTTCTAACAATTCCATAATTTTTCAGTGTACATCACATCTTGCTTGTTTTGAAGACATTAAGCTTAATAGTATATGAGAATGTTAGGAACCTTCAAAATAATAAATCAGTTGTTTGTGAAATCTAGAGTTGACTTACTTGATGCAAAGTTCACTCAAAATACTGCTATGTTAAATTTACTTATGCTCCAAAAACAATGTGACAGATATCTCTAATGCTGTTACTAAAATTTCAGGACCTTCTGGAAAGTCAAAAAACAAAGTTTGAGGAATTTTTATTTTCTTTTTTTCTGCCTGTACCTCCGCAATCGATTTTCAAAAATCACAAAGCTTCATAATCTAACTGGTTCTTGCCATGTTATAGCGGGGCCAACAGACTGACTGTCAGACGCAAATGAGTTTCATGGTTTCATTTTGGAAAGTTTTCTCGTCAATTGGCGTAGGGGATAAAAGGAAACAAAAAAAGAGCTACAGTTGGTTGAAATATATATTTCTTCTCATTCTAATAATTTTGATGTTCGTTAACTTTATGACTTGCATCGGCCGGCCTTCATCGGCACTTGAACATTTATATCGGCAGATTAGGTAGATACGAATATGCCGATGCCGGTATAACTTACGAGGCCTGTAAATTAAGTGATGACACTGATTTTTTTAATTTTTTTATCCAAATATAATTACAATTTGATATGGTCACCCTCAAAATAACGTTCGTCTGAAGCCACACAACACTCGAGTTGGTTCTTCCACTCCTCAGAGCAGTGCTGGAACTCCGATACTGGAATCCTTCAGCTGGTCGGTTACAGCCGTTTGAATGTTTTCGACTTCCTCAAAGTAAAAGTGAGGTGGATCGAAGAAACTGGCCAAGGTTGAAGCAAAACTTTCACAAAAAAATCGCTACGGACAACCAAATAACTCGAGCTAGTTCAAACTTGCACTGAAGGCGGATCATATGTTCCACTGTCTCCCCTCCAAGGCCGGCGCCTCCAGTGTTGCCAGATCGAACGCTACGTTGTTAGTTTCATCACTTAAAGTACAGACCTTGTATTGGTATCAGTCCCTACTACCAATCATTTTATCGTTTAACGAAGCTGTGCATCATTTCAAAAGTGCTTACAGAGATCTTGGGTGGTAATTATTCTTGTTACTACTTATCTTTACTTGCAGTTAGCTTGTTAGTTGCACAAATTAGCTTAGACTTACACTTAACTAGCTGTTACCTGCGACGTCGTTCCCATAACATTGTTTTAAAATATTCAAAATGTCAATATCAACACAGATTGAACCAAATTTTACATTGTAAAAATATCTGCCTACTCTCCAGTTAGAAGAAGTAAATATGTATAAAATTGTGACAGCCCTTAAATTCCTGTTCTACCAATATTAGGTATCTAGCAGAAATATTCAAAAACGACGGCAGAAGGAGACGTGTCTGCTACATTAATAAACGACAGATAACCTCATCTTAGCTTGTCGCTATCTGCATAATCAACTCATGCAAAAAAAGTTACTACCAGGACTCACTAGAGGGGACATCTAGAAATAGAAAACAAATCGCATCATGTACACATCATACTCAGTATATCATTAGTTTTGCAACTACTCGAAACTAATGGTAACTTTTGTAGTGAAATTATTTTTTATTCTATACTTCCTCTACTCTAGGTTCAATGCAATACCGTTTCATTCGTTTTTTACATCTTTCAGGATCGTATTTTTGTTATGATAACCCTGGAGCATTGATAGACGACATGAAAAAGGATCTCAATATTACAAACGCTGAATATTCTATATTATATTCCATATATTCATGGCCAAATGTGGTACTATGTTTTTTAGGAGGATTTTTAATAGACAGGTACTTAAATCAAACATTCCTATATTTGGTTGTCTTACTGATTAAACCATTTTTTCTAGTGTATTTGGAATTCGTCTAGGAGCCATTATTTATTCAGCTTTCACATTAGGAGGACATGCAATTTTTGCATTAGGCGCATATTGTAAAACATATTGGCTCATGGTATTAGGACGATTCATATTCGGGTAAATAATAATTATAATAAAGGTCTTTATTGGAATACAAAATGTACATCATGTACGTCTTTTTCCTGATAGGCTGCGTCTAGATAAATCTATTACACTCAACCTTAATAAAAGATGACTTGCGGTGCAAATGTTGTTGGCACAAAAAAAGTCCGTTAGAATATTACAGTGCAATGGAAAGTTTAAAGGTTTTGAATTTTACTTGTCAAAAATATTCGATACCAACGTTTCCTAGTATTCGTTAAAAAGAAGTTAATCACCACTCAAGAAACACATGACGTACTTTTGTACTTTTTGTAACGCGGTAATCTAAAAGGGTAGATAAAATTTATTCATATTCAAATTAAGTTTCTATCTGGCATCAAAAATTTGACTGTCCCTTTTATAACTTCATCGAGTTGAACTTTTCGAAATGAAAATTATGTTTTGTACTACCTCCTAAAATATTCATACAGAAAACATTATACCTTTTCAGTATTGGAGGAGAATCATTAGCTGTTGCTCAGAACAACTATGCTGTACTGTGGTTCAGTGGGAAAGAGTTGAACATGGTATTTGGGTTACAGCTCAGCTTTTCACGAGTTGGTAGCACTGCTAATTTTTTAGCAATGGAGCCTTTATATAAGTGGGTCCACAATATGGGTATAAGTGGACACCAGTTACTTGGGATAGTATTATTCATAGGTAAGTAATGGCAGGTTGAATAAGTTAATCAATGGTATTGGGTTGAGATCATGATTGTTATATTTGTAACACTCTTAAACATTCAGTTCTGTATGAGCTTGGAATATTAGACAAAAGAAGTATAATAATAAATAAATATCTCAAAGGCTAAGGGCAGGTTTACTATTACTATCTAAAACTGTAATGACTCATCGATGTTCACGTGAACACCACTTAACTACCAGTAGTCGGCTGTTCATAGGCGGAGTATGAATGTTTAACATGGGTGAACTAGATTTGTCACATGCTCACTAAAGAGTGGTTTGAAACATATTGTAAGTCAAAAATTTGGGAATTACCTTTATTCATCGTCGCTTCCACTTACATCTGACAGTAATAAACTGTCGCTATCGCTTTCCTCGTTGAAATTGACTATAACTGGCTCTATGATGGTGTCGATGTGGTGGTCAAGCTGCCACATTTTTGTTTCTTCCTTCACAACATGACGGATAGGATTCTGCCAAGCTTCGGGCGTTACTAGCTGTATGGAAGTCTCAAGTAAAACCTTAACGTCTGGTAATTTGAAGGTTGTGTTATGGCGCGCAATATAACCCTTCACTTGAGCCCAGATGAGCTCTATTGGGTTCAGTTCACAGTGGTAGGGCGGTAACCGCAGCACAGTGACACCACATTGTGCTGTTTAATTTTTTCATACAATTCCGCTTTCACACATGAATCATCAAACAGGATTCCTTTTTCGCGCAACCATTGCTGCATGTCACTTTTTCGAGATCCCATAGTCGGTACACGTTCGGCTCGACGACTATGGTAGGAAGCATTATCCATGACGATCACAGAGTTGGGCTCAACTCGCTGAAGCACCCCTTGAAACCAGCTCTCGAAGCAGCTGGCATTCATTTCGTCATTGTAATCACCTCCTTTCTTAGAGACGAAAATGAAGTCACACTCTTCTAAAAAGCCACTATCGCTACCAATATGAGTTACGATCAATCTTTGACCTTTCCCTGACGGTCCACGAAGACCTTTTGACAAACCTTCAATGCTTGCTTGTCGGTTACTCACTACGTTTTTGTCTATCCAGGTTTTTTAACTGTGTGACCTGCATTTACCCATGTCTCGTCCAAATAATAGATTTTTCTGCTTTGTCGCCTATATTCAATCATTTCGCGTAGGTATTTTCGACGCCAGGCGACTATTTCAGGTCTCTCTATCAATACTGACTTCCGATTACGCATTTCGTAACGAAAATTAATTTCGTGCAGGCATTTCCTCATTACCTCGACGCTCTTTTGGGGTATAATTTCATTTTCCTTGATCGCTGCATGTAGAGCCTTGAGGGTTGGTATCTCATTCCTAAAGAAGAATGAATGTACGGTTCGCCTTAACGCCATTTTGCTATCGTCATCCAATTTAACGGCCTTTCGTCCATTCAAATTAAACTTTGGATCAGTAGTAGCTCCAGTTTTCTTCTTTTCATGCACCACCCTGCGAATGGCCCACTCTGGAACGCCTGTCATACTTTCACAACGCGCGAGTGCATCTCCCTGCGACATAGTTCTGTTCAGATAATTGAACACGTTGAGCACGATTTCTTTCGCGTCCCTCTTCAGTGCTTTACGAAGCCGTCTACTTGTTCCCTGGCTTTCAGTACTTCCACTCGTGCCATTTGTACTCTCCATGGTTAAGTATAACCAAAACACTAACCACAGAAACCACAACAATAACAATCACACAACAATTCTTATAAAAACACACAATATGCGATCGCTCAACGAAACACGTTCCAATGCGTTGCCGACGCCTATGAGTCTGCCGGTCGAGGCGCGTCTTTGATTTCATTGGTTCTACCGGCGGAGAACAATCAGCCATTATTTCCATCTCTGTCTGTGCTGTTGACCACCGCAAAGCCACAGAAACGACATATGTCGTACGCTATACGGCTGTACTGGAAGGAAGCCGGGATCAAGCTCTGATCACGTGTTGATCACGCGTATGAGTCATTACAGTTTTAAATAGTTGTAGTATAGTTGGTGTCTTTATTATAGGTTGCTTTTTGGCGTATAACAAAATTCCATAATATCAATGGAAACAGTAGCCAATAAATTATGCTGTTTTCTAGATTGAAATCACTATTTTCAGCTGGCACAACTTGCGTGTTTTCACTTATATGTGGGCTGATCCTAGGAGCATTAGATAGAAGGGCTGAAAGGATTTTATCCAGGAGTAACAATACCTCAGGCGAGGTGGTGCGATTGAGTGACGTTAAAAATTTCAAAGCACCGTTTTGGCTAATAACTGTTATTTGTGTTACGTATTACGTGGCAATTTTCCCTTTTGTCACCTATGCAAAGTGAGTATTAATTTTTCTATAAATCAGAGACATTTTTTTGGATCATTTAGCTTATATAACGAGACGATATCTTAGTTGTTGTTTCTGTGGCGTCTCCCTCTTGTAATGACACTAAGTCGCATCAAAAATAATATATAATCTTTCAGGGAATTTTTCATAGAACGTTTCCATATGGCGTCGGAAGATGCCAATGTCGTGAGCAGTTTAATCTACACAATTTCAATGGTGGCATCGCCTATTTTGGGTTTTCTAATTGACATGACTGGAAGAAATATTGCTTGGATTTTAGGAGCGATACCTATAACCATGCTTGCACATATCCTACTTACTTTTACGGTGCTGAATCCGTATGTTGGAGTGGTGAGTTGTTTCTGTTATAAATTCAAGCAATAGCTGCCGCGCATATAATTTATTATCTACTTTTTGTGTTTACCCGGTAGTGCCGGCTATTTTCTGTTTGAGAGCTGCGCCGTTGCTGTAACAATTTGATTTGTAAAGATATCCTGCTTACTTGTGTATTAATGACAGCCAGACTAACGAAAGTGAATTACATAGTTTTCTTGTGGCGTCGCGATTATGATAATGACTCAAGTTTATTAACCGACACTCATGTTTAATGTAAAATTTTACACTTTTTTATTTTCCAGGTTATTATGGGTATTGCATATTCTGCCTTGGCCAGCAGTTTGTGGCCTTTGGTCTCTCTTATTATTCCAGATTATCAGCTTGGAACTGCATACGGAGTGTAAGTTTCATTACATATTTTGTTCATTATATATTACGAGGGTGGTCCCAGAAGTACCCGGCCTGACCTAGAGATGGCGATAGTTGCTTGAAAAATATCATTATATTAGAAAGTATGCAACCTATAAAGCATATGTGTCAAGTTTGAAGACACCACGTTGTTTAGTATTTGTTTGGCAGCCATCAATACTGAACGTTTTCAGTGAATTTGTAAAAATGGAGAAAATTGGTCATCGTTATGTGGTACTTTTATTTCAAAGGCCTCGGCCCAACCAATATAAAAGCTGAACTGGATTCTACTCTGGGTGAGTCTGCTCCTTCGTTTACAACAGTAAAATATTGGGTAGCAGAGTTTAAACGAGGCCGTATGAGCTGCCAAGACGAGCATCGCAGTGGTCGACCAAATGAGGTGACGACCCCAGAAATGGTGAAGAAAATTCACAAAGCGGTACTGAATGATCGACCACTGAAAGTGCGCGAGCTAGCAGTCATAGTAGGCATTTCACAAAGTGCGGTTCATCGCTTATTATCTGAAAGTTTGGACATGAGAAAGCTGTGTGCAAGATATGTGCCGCGACTGCTCACAATCGAGCAAAAACAGTGTTGTGAAGATGTTTCAATTGAGTGTTTAGCGAAGTTTCACAGCAACAAAGCAGCATTTTTGCGTCGTTTCATAACCATGGACGAAACATGGGTCCATCTCTTCGCACTCGAGACAAAAGAACAATCAAAACAATGGACTCAAAAGGGACAATCGGCTCCAAGGAAGGCGAAGACCGTTTCATCTGCAGGCAAGGTTATGGCGTCGGTTTTTTGGGATGCGCGTGGGATAATTTTCATTAAACATCTTGAAAAAGGTGAAACTATCAACGGCGAGTATTATGCGAACTTATTGCAACGTTTGAGCGATGAAATCAAGCAAAAACGGCCGCATTTGGTTAAGAAGAAAGTGTTGTTTCATCAAGACAATGCACCAGCTCAAAAATCCGTTATTGCAATGGCCAAAATTAACGAATTAAAGTTTGAATTGCTACCTCACGCACCCTATTCATCAGATTCAGCCCCCTCGGATTATTTTCTGTTTCCAAACTTGAAAAAATGGCTCAGTGGTCAAAGATTTTCCAACGATGAAGAAGTGATGTCGGCAGTTAATGGCTATTTTGAGGAGCAAGACAGTTCTTATTATAAGAAGCGTATTGAATATCGCTGGGAAAAGTGTATAGAGCTCAAAGGAAATTATGTTGAAAAATAAATACATTTTTTTACAAAAATTTTGTGTTTTCTTCGTTGGGTCGGGTACTTCTTGGACCACCCTCGTACATATGATAGATTGAATGATTTCTATTACTTTTCTATACATTTTATAGTATTTTTAGGGCATGCATAATAGTTTTATTATGTGGCATGGTCATTTGTAACCCTTTTATTTCCTTGTCATTTCTACATTTTTTATCATTGTAAATAGCTTGTATTTTCACTACAAAATTCTGAAGGTTCAAGTCACTGCTTATGTAAAGGTAATTAGAACTGTTATCTTTCATGCTAATCATGCAACCGTCCGCTAGCCATCGAATATTCCCCATTGTTTGATACAATGTAAACATACTGAAGTGCGAGGTACTCAATACCGGATTACGTGACGTATCTCATATTCTTCTTATTAATTTCAATGTCAACATGCCACGCGTTACGTTTTTATATAATGTATAATATTTATTCAAATAGGTTTACATTTTTTTTTGAGAAATAAACTATATAAGGAATCTTACTATGTTGTTCCTGGTCACTTGATATTTGCTAATAACTGCCCAACCGCAAAACATTGCAAAACTTTGATTTCGAACAATGTGTATAATATAAAGGCTCAATAAGAGCGCCGGATTCAAGAAAAACACAATTTCTTTTCGAATTAAGCGAGTATTTTTATTTCAACATGAAGAGGAATAGTTGCGATTAAGCATGAAATAGGATATCAGGTAAATGGCCACCACGAAACCTCTGGCACATGGTTCAGTCTTTTCTTAAAATTCTGGATAACTTTTTCGCACAACTGTGGCTCTGTTTCGTCGATAACGCGCCGTATCTATTCTTTAAGGCGTTCAACTATTTTCCTTCCATAGCCCCAGAGGAAGAACTCCATGGGCGTTAGATCGCACGATCTTGGCTGTTGTTTCCAAACTTTTGTCCGCCGACGCATCCGAGACAGAGAAACAACCGCCCGTCTCTCAAATCGCGAAAGAAACCTGGAGAAGAAGTTTCCGAGCCCTCCTCAGTCGCTTGTCCGTAATGCCAAATTTTGCGGCCTGGTCAAGTTTCTGTGGCCACTCAATCATGCTATGTTTATTAATCTATTGTAAATCTAGCTACTTTTGGTATTTGATATAACATTTTGTTTTTAGATGTCAAGCAATTCAAAATCTGGGTCTAGCTGTGATAAATATCGTAACTGGTGTTATTGTTGACAAATATGGATTTGTGGCCTTAGAAATATTCTTCCTCTGTTGCCTGTCGGGTATGTCAGTATATATAAATTCATATCTATTCCTTAGTGATACAGATCACCTCATAAAACATAATATTAATTTACTGTACAGTTCAAGAATGCAAAGGAAAATATGGTCTGGTTGTCAGTAAAATAATGTTTCATGTTTTTCGTCGATAATGATATACCTCGTACAAGTATATATTTCTTATCAAGTATTGTCGTATAGAATATTGTTTGTACTGTAATTCAAGGAGAAATATTTATCAATAACAAAGTTTTAATAATTGGTACTAAAATTTTAAAGTAGTTTCCTAAACGTTTATTATCATTGTAGCGGCACTTCTCTCTACAATGGGTATGGCAATAATGGACAAAATGCAAAATGGCACTCTTAATATGTCAAGAGCACAAAGGCAAAGGCATCAACAGAGCATTATGTAAGTATGAATACATGTAAGCAGTTTCCATTTTTTTGTCCACCTAACTTCCTGAATGCCCAGTATGTATTTCAAGACGTACATACAAAGTTATAAAGATATATTTGTTTTCCTTGTGAATTTATTTGTTTTGGTCCTCTATTTTCTAAAAAAATTGTAGCATTATGATTTTATGCGAGTTTATTCCATATGTAAGTAATTACTTTCGGGTCTAATCATATTAGAGGAAAATACCCCTGGTTTGCGAAATAATTGTAAAGTCTGGTTTCATTGCTGCAAGTTATTCAAGGGGTATTTGAAACTTGGACGCATAAACGGAGTACACCAATTTTCGTGGGAAAACTTTTTATTCGACAACAAAGAATGAGAAAACGTGTTTTTTGGGTTTCAATCGAAAGTTTTGGTAGGGACGAAAAAACTCTGCAAATGAGATTTTTGAATAGTTATGAGACCTACATAATAAGATCACACGTAAAAAGATCCGACTAATAGCAAAAATGTTATGACCGAAAACCGAGGAAAAATGCAGCGTTTGGCACTTGTTGGTAATGCGACGATAGTTTCACGCAGATACTTGAAATTCTTCAAATTCGTACGATTCATACTTCTAAATAACCACAACAAAATTGGAATAGATTGGTCAAGTAGTTTATTGAGCAATATACAGGGTCGTTCAAAGGCCATTTAATAGCACAATACACGAGTTTACCTGGCCGATATGAATCACAAACTATTCCGAAAGATAAATGTTATTTTTATACGAAAAGCAAAGGGTTACGTTTTTTTTCTTCTAAACAAATTCAAACATTTCATATTTGTGAGTAATTGCAATAAAAGGTGATAGACACATCCGCTTTGTCTTAAAATGTGTATAATATCGTATGTTTTTCTAATATCGTGGCGCATTTGTTCAATTACTCACAAATACGGAATGTTTGAATTTGTTTAGAAGAAAAAAGCATAACCCTTTGTTTTTCACATAAAAATATTTACCTTTCGGAATGGTTTGTGATTCATATCAGCAAGGTAAACTCATGTATTTTGCTATTAAAAACTACTTGACCAATCTAGTCCAATTTTTTTGTGGCAATTTAGAAGTATTAATCCTACGGGTTCGAAGAATTTCAAATATCTGCGGGAAACCATCGTTGCATTACCAACAAGTGCCAGAACCTGCAGTTTGCCTCGTTTTTCGGCCATAACGTTTTTGCTGTTAGTCGGATCTTTTTACGTATGGTCGCAGTTCGTAAGTCTCACAAATACTTAGAAATCTTATTTGAACAGATTTTTTGTTCCCGCCAACACGTTCGATTGAATCCCAAAAAAAAAACGTTTTCTCATTCTTTGTTGTGAATAAAAAGTTTTCCCACAACGAAAATTGATGATACTCCTACGGGTTCGTGTGATAAAACACGTTTGGCAGATTGATTGTTTAAAAGATTTGAAATTTCATATTTCACAAGACCAGTCAGTGGCAGTTTTCAAAGCTAAATTAATGATCATTATAGTCTTTATACGTTTTTGACTGATTATGATTTTGTTTGATTTATGAAATCTCGGAGTTTTAAGCTATCCGGCCTTTTGAAGATATTTGTAGTGTACTCGCACATTGTATTAATATAAACGTCTTCAACACCTTATGAGGTTTCCCTGTCTTCTTTTTCTAGTATTATTTCAATTTTATAGTTTGTAAGTGTGCTAATATTTAACTGGCAGCTAATAAAAATACCAATTGTAAAAATACTAATAATATTAACATAAATTTACAGGACACCAGTCAAAGAATGAGGGGATGTCGAATTTTAAGTATTTCCATGATTCTAAGCCGATCATGGTACCTCACCACGTTATGTGGCATAAGTTAAATTATTTATTAAAGAAAAATAGACTTACTGTGTTTTATTTTGTGCTATTTAAATGTGATTGATATTTTTTTATTTATTCATAAGCTGAGGCATAGAACATCGTTAAAGAGAAGTATACTAGCTAGCTAAAATTAATTATAAAAGAAATATACAATTACGTAGATTTTTATAAACTACTAAGAATTCATATGCCTTCACAATCATAAACAAAAACAATATATTCAATTGCAGCAATTTTCCATTTAGTCAATGTTATCAATAATATGATCTTTGATGTGTAATATTGCAACTGTTACATATTTTTTTCATGCAGCATTGAATGAATTGCTGGTGCATGAAGGTGTAAGGTCTTCTCTATATATTGGTATGTCACTCTCCGGTCTTCGTCAAGCATTTTCCTCACAGCAGCAATGTTTTCCTCTGTTCGCGGCATCCCTACCCTCTCAGCGTCCTCCAGAGTGAACTTGCCCCTTTGGAATTCTCCGTACCTCCTAAATATAGTCGTGCGATGAGGACAATCATTCTTTAATGCAAGCGTCACTTCTTCTAAGCACTGGTCTATGCTTGACCACGCGTGAAGTTATACCGTATACCGTAAACCTGCCCTTATCTCACTACCCTTTGTATTAGGTTGGCTATCTCCAGGTAGAACGTGTTAATCAATGACAACGTTTACTGATACCTATGTATTATTGCGTAGTGTAACACAAATCAAGTGACAGCTCGCACACTTGAGCGACGCGAAGCGAAGAGACGTGTGTCATGTTTGACACGTACAAATGATAATGACGCGGCGGTTTTGTTCCCATCATGTATGTGCACGTTAACAGTTGCAAACTTGGATAGAGCGTTATACTATAGTTGTAGACGAACGGTGTGAGCCGAGGTGATACTCAGATATCTGGGCTGCTGCTAGTAAGTAGCATAAACAGTAGAAAGTTATCATCATTGTTCGGGTTCTACATAGAACTATCCCAGAACTGTTTTGATTCTGCAAGTAGCCAATCGCAACTGCCAGTTCCGACATCCCGAGAGTCCACCTCGCTTCTGCAGAACAGCAGGGTTATTACGTAAAAAACGTAGATAATGTCAAAAAACGACAATGTCACTTTTCAATTTACGTAATACTCCTGCGGTTCTGGGATAGTTCTCCTGAACAAGCTATCGTACTTTTAATAGTGTCTACGATCGAAGGCGATTGTCTAGCCTTGAAGAGACAGTTTATGACTGATATGGTTTAGTATCATGTTCCCGAAAAAAAAATTTCACAGTCCGTTTGTCGTATTTTCGATGTCAGCGCCATCTCTAGGACGTAGTGCATTGGCCCATATGGCTTTAATATGGTATGGTGGTAGGTATATAATAAGCTATAACAAAATCACTCACATGACGGAATTAAGATTCGATTACGCTGGTCAGTAACTATCTATCGAATTTAGGTAGTTACAGTGTTGAGTGACTAGGAGCCAAGCCTATACGTTTAGTGCATACTTTTGTCTAATTTCCCTATCATTGCTTACCAAAGTGACAAACTAATACATCGGCGTACATTTTTTTCTCTGGAGATGATACTCAAGTAGCCAATCGTATTGAGTGTACTCACGTTCAGCAGGAAAAAAATCTGTGATGTGAATCGCTCAGTTATTGTTAATAAACAGGCATAAATTAAATAAGGCAAAGAAAGGGAAGTAGATATTTATTAACGGTACAGCATACGAACGATTTTGCTTAATTCGTGATTTTGGAAGGTGAAATTGCATCAAACAGCAGGAATGATGGCATACCTGATACTAGAAATAGTGAGACACCTTGCTTGAATTCTACTCGGTTTTTCTAAATAGTGCTATTATATCAGTAACATGTTTCATCGTTTAAAAATATTTGGAAGTAATTTAATTTGGTATTCATAGTTTTTTTATAATGAGAATCTTTCCTAAGAACTTTTAGATCTGAAATTGAAGTAGACTTAGAGTTTCGGATGGCCCTTTTCAGTAAAGATAAAAACATTTTTGTTTCTCTCTCAACATTTGGCATTTTTAAATGTTGTTAAGGATACAATTATGTTAGCAAACCTTAGATTGGTACTGTGTGCTCAAATAAACAAGAAGCGGAATGAAAACATCAAAAATTACCTCACAACTCTCCAAGTAAAACCTCGCACTTTCGCAACGCCGATGACTATAATGTATTAGCTTATACACTTATTGATAAAAAGGTCTCAGTTTAAAATGCTTTTCGCATTCCACAGAAGCCTTCACAATTTTCGGCAATTATCTGGAACACAAGCACTTTTATGTGTTTTCGCAAATAAATACGAATTTAATGTGAAATGTCAACTATTGTTAAACTGGTGCCTTAAACCTAACTGACTTGTAGTATGAACTTCTAACCTGACTGACTATGTAATCTTGGTTGCAAACAAATTGTAAATTCGTTGCTTGATACTGATTCAGAATTCTAAATTGATCACATTGGCATACTCTTTGATAAGATCATGTTATATCAAATCTGTGTATTTATCCATTGAAGATTGAAGTATATGATATCTCAGAAAGGTATATTTCCATAGCGTGATATGCGACAGATTTTTTTTGCATTCTAAATACTCAAAATGTAATTACAGAAAAAAGTAATAGTTTTTACGAACGATTCGAAAGCAAGTAGTGGAATTCCATTTAGTAATTATACCTTTTTTTCAGTATATCAGGAGCGCTGGAAAGGGAAAAACTACTTGCCGGAGGAGGGGAGTCGTCAACTGATATGTACGATTCCACTGCTGACTTACCTGCGAACAACAGGTATTTATTAAAAGTTACTTCTTTCTTTACGTCGCTTTCTTGGGAGAAAATAGTCATCCAGTGGAGGCGTTGGGCGTCGGCGACTTCCTATGGCCTTCTTTATGTAATGAATTTTTCTATATATTTTGTCGTTTCCCTGCACGAAGGACATGGTCATGCTCAAGGGTAAATGCATTTTGCGGTGTCCAAAATAGGGGTTTCATTTGGGAAAACTCCTCAAATGTCCTTCTGAAGGTCACAGTCAAGGTCACTTTCAAAATCGCCAATAAATGAATCTTTGCAAACCTTACATTTTTATCTAGGAACTTTTTGAAGACCCTGTATATTTCTGCGGATAAAACCATGCCTATTAACCTTCCTCGGGTTTCCTTTAGAAAATGTACAAATGTATACGTCTCTCCGTATTATGGTTCACACGTGATGCTGACACACTGGTCAGACATTCACATTTATATAGCTGAGTCATTTATTCTAACAGCTTGTAGAACTCGACAAAAGAAGTTGATATATCAAAAATCACCTATATAAAAGTTGCATTATAAAAGAAATAGTAAGTAAAAGATTCGAATTTTAAAAAATAAGAATCTTTTAAGATTTCATTTTAAATAAATGACTCAACATATAAAACACCTGTATAGATAGATGTTGTAGGTTTTTACTAGTATCTGATCTGATTTGTGGTTTATTTGGATAGTAAAAAACAAAAGTCAAGAATTATAACATAACCAAATCATTTTAAAGTAAAGTAAGTTAAAAGAAATGACTCAACATAGAAAAAACCTGTATAGATAGAAGTTGTAGTAGGTTTCTACTAGCTTCTGATTTGATTTGTGGTTTATTTAGATAGTAAAAGACAAAAGTCAAGAATTATAATATAACCGAATCATTTTACAGTAAAGTAAGTTAAAATAAATGACTCAACATAGAAAACACCTGTATAGATAGATCTTATAGGGTTCTACTAGCATCTGATTTGATTTGTGGTTTATTTAGGTAGTAAAATACAAAAGTCAAGAATTATAATATAACCAAATCATTTTACACTATAATTATTAATTTTTACAGCTCTCAGCCTTCAACATAAGCCGAAGATGATAGTCATGGACGAGTGTTGCATCAAGCTGTATCTGAAGACATATTAACTTGTTTTTCTTCAACTACCTTCAAACCCCATTTAATTTGGTCAGAGGACAGGTTTTGATCAAATTATGTGCTTATGTAATGAACTTTTTCCATCAAAACTTACTGTGTCTGACCATAGATCAAACTGTTCCATGTCTTCAGAATATGTGGTCTCATACACTTACATCTAGCAAATACTTCAATTGTGATATGAATGTATCAAAAATTATACGTAACGATTTAGAAATGTCAATTGTTATTTTTATAAGACCTATTGCTTGCTGTGTATACTGTTGAGTACAAATAGCAAGTACATATTTCTCGAAGTAAATTTCCGAATCATTATTTAAGTATAACTTATTGTCGATAGTTTGTATAGAAGGTACATTATAATTTTCTGTATCGAAGGTTAAGTTTTTAACTATCGCATTCATTCCATTTTGTACAGGCTCGCATATCCTTTTTGTTAATATAACAATAATACTGAACAAAACGTTATATGGACTGCATACAGATATATATAGATTGTTGAAATTATTAATATATTTTATTTGTACCATTCAATATTTCACAATAAATTAATGTTTTATGTTATGGGATACAGAACTGAACACATTATTTTATCAGCGTTATAGGAAAGTGAATGAAGCTAAGTTGTTCTAACGAGAGATCAAGGTATTTAGTTTGAATAGAGATATTGGAATAGATATCTAACAATTCTCAGACCCATTTCGCATTGCACATTAGATAAACTTTTATAGATAGATAAAGGTTTCAGAGATTTAGTGAAACTGGAACTTTAAATTTACATTTTTAAATTGCTACTTTTGATAAATTGCAATTGCAATATATGGTATTTGTCCTACAAACAAATTTACATATTGAATTCTCGAATGCAATAAATTGTGACATGGTTGGAGCAACTTTTCTCAATGTTATTTTTGGTGATTTGTCATTGACATTTATCGCTTCATTTTCTACACAAATACTCCTTGTTGACCAGTCTGTACTTTTGTGAGAAATCTGCTCTAAGTAAGAATTTGTTTTAATACAAGAGGTATTGAGACAGTATAGTGCAAACTATGTAATTAATGTTTATATATATATTTTAGTAGTTAAGTGAAACTAATTAAAAAATAAATATAGTATACATACGTTAAATGGTTTTTCTGACCAGTTTTATCCACTTTTTGATAGGTACAATATTGAAATAATCTATTCTATATCCCCCAATCTTAGAATTTACAGATTGATTTTACGTTTCCATCTAGCTTTCGTATAGAGGCGTATTCAATACAGGTATTACGTGGAATTTCCATTTTTTTTCTTATATTTCGCAAAAAATGTATATTCTCGGAACGATTTTTCTCATGTGCACATGCGTATTGAAGATGGTTCTCGATGCTTTCGTCTGCCACCTTTAACGTGGCCTAACCTTAAATCATGATCCCTGAATAATAAATGAGGCCTTTGAGCTGGTCAGAATACGTTCACTAAGGATACGACTGGCGACAATGATTGGTCAAATAACCATTTTAAGGTTAGAAAAAAGGCGCAGTCCCCACGCAACTCTATCATCATTCCATAAGGGATTAGATTCGGCACAAGTTAGTCCTTCTTATAAAAAGAAATTGGCTACGAACATGTATAACAAAGGAATTAAATGGATCATACAATCGGTATATAGTCTAACTATGCGATCTAGACTACCCCCCGACCAACAGTATCGCACCGCACGGGTATTACATATCTCGAAAAGCGACATTATGCCAATTTTTGTTGACATTATATTGGTTTTTGTGACATTATGTAGGTTTTTCTACAAGATGTCAACTTGAGGCCGTATCGTCAGTCGTCCATACAGTTTGTACGACGCCTTTATGGCCTCCTTGATTTTCATAGTTCTCTACTGCTCCGTGTCAGCGCTCTATTCTGAGGTTATGTCACAAATATCTATTTGCATCAAATTGTTCATGCTTTTGATTCATATAATCTGTTTTATCAGCCTGAAATTTCCTACCATTCAAAAAGCAAACATTACTTCACAATAGGAGAGCGCTAACGCTGACACGGAACAGTAGAGATCTAGAAATAACCCAGCCTTTCTGAAGGTGAGAAAATACTATGAAAATCAAAAAGACCATAAAGGCGTCTCACAATAATTGTAGGAACGACTGACGATACGGCACTTAGTACTAGCTGATGGACATGTTGTAAATTCGTTTTGTAGTTGTACGTGTTGTTTAAACGATATGAGGGTTCAGTCGTTCAGTTATCAATTTTTGGCTCTGATGTGCATTACTGCAGGTACCAGCAATGCATAGGTGCATAGTGAGGATTTGTGTGTTAATAATATGTGTGATGATAATTCCATTGGATTCTTGTCTCAAATACACTTACTTGAGATTCAAAGCTAGACATTTGTTGCGCATCCAGTGTTTCTTATCCATTCTGGAAATTACAAATGGAAATTTGCTGAATTTCAAAAATGAGAGAGCTAAGAAATAATTATATTTACTGTACACTGGCGAATTACACGCCATATACATGATAATCGTAATTACACACAACGCAGGCGCGATGGTGATTTTCCGTAATTCACCTCGAAGTTTTTGAAAACACAAAAAGTCGTAATTAATAACTTTGAACATAACCTAACTTCAGAAAGGACAACATATAAATAATCCGTCGGGCACAGCTAATATACTTCACTGGCAGCATATTCAGTAATGATTTTCTAACACAGCAAATATCACTGATATTATACTTATGCAGACCCATACATACAATCATCCAGATGCGATCTTGCTATTCAACCTTCTTCTCAAAGATGAAAACTATAGACTTTTCGGCTTCACAAAGCATCTGCAACCAACAATGCGTGTAGACGTGTAGTTGAGCCATTCCTCCATACATGGACGCTCACAACGATCCTAGTGAGCAAACGTGGAATGACTGTTTTGCACCCTGAAAACTATCCAGTCTGTGAGATGACGTTTTATAGGTTTTTGGGGCTGGAAATTTTTCTACCTCAGTGGAACTTCTAGAATTTATCATATTATTGCTCCTTAGATCCATTGTGCGCTATCTGGTCAATGCCAGCGTGAAAAAAAAAACATGGTAAATGCTCAGAAAGGCAATATTTTATTAAACGAGAACAAAATAAGTACGTCGTATTTACTATTAACTAGTGTAATGATATAAAAGATTAAAACATAAAAAACTTAATTGCTCTGTTAACCGAAAAAAAAGTTAGTTAGTATGCCTCTGTCGCCATGATGTGTCATAAAGTAACACATAGGCCGCTTTACACGTACGGTTTTTCTGTCAGTTTTTGGCGCATATACGACAGTTCTCTTGGTCCAACACTTAAGTGCAAATGTTCGGTTACTGATGCGTGGAACGTCGTGTGGAGCGCCATAACGGAACGCAGATGTGGACCGCGCGCCGGCCAGCATTTGCACAAACACGTTTGCACGCGGAAGCCCGGTACCTGGGTTTCTGGTGCACTCTGTTGAAATTTGAAATATTATAATGGCGTGGACGAGGGACAACTTGGAAAAATTTATTGGTATATACTGGTTGTTAGGGAAATAATATTCGTAACTTTAAGAGGTGATTCCTTGCATTATTCTAAGCAAACAAGTTCATTATAACTTATGTCCGAAAATCAATCGCTTTCGTAAATAATTAAATTTTCTCAAACATTCGGCAACGCTGCAACGCAACCGCGATACGAGCGCTCGACGACCGCAACTTATTCATGACTAAAAAGAAATAAATTCAGCATTTTCTTGCTCCGATACGGCTGATTTTCGGACATAGGTTATAATGAACTTTTTTGCTTAGAATAATGCAAGGAATCACCTCTTGAAGTTACAAAAATTATTTCCCTAATACCCTGTATATAGGGACCATCCTTGCTTACGGAACGTAAAAAGCGAATACTATAAAAACAAAAACTTAAAAAACACTGTTTATCACGAATTAGTACAATTTTTAAAAGAAAACGTTCTTCGTGCCCGTTTTTCTCACAAAACCTTCTTTTATTTTGGTTTCCCTGTTAAAATATACGTATATTGCAGTTCAAGCTATCGCCTGGTCTCTTCACTTTTTTCTTAAATATGTTGTAGAAAATGGCGCGTCGCGCTGGAGTCATCAACCAGTTAGAAATCTAACGCGCCACTCCAAAACTGCGGGGTTTTGGGTTTGGACGTACGGTTTTGGCATGTACGCTCCAAACGCACAGGGTTGGAGCGCGCTTCAGAAACGTTGTACCACATTTCTTGTACAACGTGTCAAGCGCGTACGCTCCAAGCACGCACGCCACTCTAAGCGCGCCAGAGGACGCTCCAAAACCTGCAGATTGGAATGTACGTGTAAAGCGACCTAATGATGTTAGATTACAAAAACAAGTATCAGACGTTTAAGAGGGGCGCGCCCTCCCCTAAATCCGCGGGTCGGATAAATTGGGGTCGGACGAGCGAAAGTTATATAGGATTACGATTAGTCCGTTCAATGCCGAGTTGACTCGTATATATATTTATATAATATATACTATAGCTCTGTGCTATAGCACCAGAATCGACGACATCTAGCGGCCGTAGTGGTGACTCGGCTGTCAAATGCGAAATGGTATGCAGTTCCAACAGATTGCTGTTTTCGTTCTCGCGGTGAGCGCGTGACTGTCATGTAAATAGATTTTTCAACCCAATAACCTTTAAAGCTCTATCCATTGAAAGCGTGAGAACAAAGATCTACAAATAACCACATGTTCTAGATTAAGCTTGAAAAAACTTTTCAACACACTCTGTAGTTTGTTATTTTACTTCTGTAATTTGGCAACATCGTAAACGACAAAGAGACGACAATTAGACACTATTCATTCGTCAATCGTCATTCATGTCAATGTCAATTGATAGAGTACAAATTGAAGTAGGAGCGCGAGATTAGTATGATCCTTATATTAGCCGCCATTTTCATTCCCCTCTTGACTTCTAAAGCAACATTTTTAATCATTTCCGTCAAGGATTTAGAAGACATGGTCTAGTTGTTAAATTTAACTTAATTCTAAGGAAGTAGTTTTATCAGTTTGACATTGCCTTGGATTACGTAATCTTGCAAAAAAAATGCTTTCCCCCTAGCAGCCAACACTACAGTTTGTAGCCAATCAGATAAGTCAAAAATCACGTTGTCTGAATTTTGCAGCTTCGTGATTCGTTGTTGAAATAATGTTCACGCCCTATCATACGTGTATGCTCGGTAACCCACATTTTGCAGTAGAGCCCACGTAAAGTTTGGGAAATCCGCCAGTTTCTCAGTTTGTGTTTGTATCAGCTAGTAGCCACTCAACTTGCTAGTAGCCTACCAAAAAAGTTGGATAGTTTGACAGCTGTCACGTTAATGATAAATTATTTCTAGTCCGAGCTTTCTATAAGTAAAAGTTTTAAAAAAAACCTGCCTTGTTAAATCATAGTGAGTGGTCAGTCAATGCTGCTAAATTTACCGAAATTATTTACCGAAGAATAGTAACTGGATACTGTCGTGTTCGTGTGATTGCTGCGGCCTATAGATTCATCGGCGTTTAGTAGTGAATACGTGTCGATTTTCATCTAATAAAATTCATCTGCCACAGCCACCAAATTACTATAGAATCAGTAACTAACACTTTTTCAATGTTAGGTAAGTGTAAAAATTAGGGACATTGACAGCAAGAGCAATTCTATTTTTATACACTTTCCGAATCATTCCATACATATTCATTTTCTCACTATCAGCCTAATGGTAATCTCCTGCTTGATCTTCATATTTATAGATCTACTGTCTAACACAAGTAGTAACGGAACAGTCACGATGTCCAGAAAAAGGACTAGGAGCAGATCGGAAGAGATTGTGTCAACAACAAATCTGCCTCAGCCTGTAACGGTATGTAAATTTTGATTTTGAATCATTTTGTGCTATATCTAACCTTGCATTTCAATTAATAACAGACAAAATATGTAAATATTTCCACAACTTGGCCTTCCCTTAGCTAGCCAGGTAATTTCAAACTTATTTGATGTGGACATGCACGAGCCCCTTCCCACTTCAGTTGGACCGCTTCAAGATTTGTACCAAAATATGGCCTTAACCAAGTTTTGGCAAAAATTTGGTGTAAAACAATCCCATATTTCTTAAAGCTTTTGTCTCAGTTTGGTGATTGTATGAGCAGGATGTTGTCGTAGAACCTTTTTCATCTCATGCCACAAAGTTTCAATAGGTGACAGGTCTGGACTGCTAGAAACCCATTTTAAAGGTGGTACATTATTATCTTCCATCCATTTTATAGCCTTTTTTGAGGTATGGCACGCTGCACCATCTTGCTGAAACACAAAATCTTCCATCACTGGTAAAAGCGATTCTTCTAAAATTGACAAATATTTGTTTCCACATTTCCATCAATAAAATGAAGTTTTCCTACTCCATTTTATGACATACTGCCCCAGACCATAATGGATGTTGGAAATTTCACATTTCTCTTCAGACAGTCAACATGGAAAGCTTTTTTTTTTGCGAATATCTCTACTGCGACTATCACCAACACAAACTTCGAATCGGGCCTCATCACTCCATTGTATTGCACACCATTGTTGTGGTGTCCATTGTCTATGTTCTTTAGCCCATCTAAGCCGATTTTTCTTTTGCAGTGGAGTTAATAGTGGCTTTTCTTTGGCCTATAAACAAGTTGTGCAACTTTACTGATTTTTACTTCACTTTTTTTTATAAGAAAACTTACCTTGCAAGTGCTAAATCCCAGTTTGTGGGCCTCTCTATGAGTTGTGGACCTCGAAATTCTCCTTGCAACAGCGTCAATCCACACAGCACTTAATTGTAAATAATTGGCATGTCTGTTTTTCACGATTAATCTTCTTAATGCTCTTCGGTCGGCATTTGTGATATTACTTTTTTCACATATCATGGCTTAATATTAACTGCACCAGTTATGTTATATCTTCTAACAATATTTCTCACACTGTACCGCGATCAGTCTAACAAAGTTGAAATTCCTGAGTTTGATTTCCCAGAATTAAAAAAATTTAATTATCAGTAACCGAATTTTCTCACTAATAACCTTTCCTCTACCCATTTTGAAAACCTTAAATACCCAAAACTATTCTAAACGTATTCTGACAGCTGTGATTAATAAAAACAATTGTCATGGCTTTTATTTTTCACAGCCACCTATGCTTTATAGACTTATTTTGCATTGAAATGAAAATAGGTTGATATGCTGTAATTGCAACATGTGTTATTTTTATGCTGCAAATTTGATTAGGGAGTGATAAAGTTGGTGTTTTCTACTATATATTATCAAAATATTCATTGTTAATATTTTAAACCTATAACACCCTGCTACATTTTTATTATTTGTGTTTGATAAGAAAAAACTTAAGATTTCAATAGTTGGGCCAATTGAAGTGGGAAGGGGCTCGTATGTGAGCCCTGCATGGAAAATCAAGATAAAAATGAAGCAATAGAAATCTTCATCATTTGAGAAATATATAAACTATGATTTTGGCATTTTTTAAAAAGGGTATAAAATATTTTATACTTTCTTTTATTAGTGTGATTAATTCAGTTTATTTCTGTTATCTAAAATCTGCATACATATTGTTTTCTGTAAGAGATAACATTGATAGAATAGTAACAAGCTCTGGTATATTTTTGCATTTGTTAAAAAGCTTTATGAACAAGTATTTTATTCAAATTTACAAGTACATTCATCTTTTTATGAGTTATATCATAAGAAATATAGAAATGTGACAATGTTATTAATCAGTAAGGCATTGTGGCAGTAATCAATATATTCATCAGAAAGAAGTATTAGTTTTAATGCTGAGAAAATTGATACCATTTTGAATAGTCTCATTCAGTATCTGATCAATATAACAAATTATAACATTTAATGGAAAACATTAATTTGACAATGGCATTGAACCACCATATAATGTTCAATTCAATGTGTCTGAAATTTGAACTTTTACATAGCTTTTAATATATAATGAGAGTGAGAGATAAAAGTTTCTCCTATGGAGTAGGAATATTTCATATAGGTATACCTTCAATTTTTTTTTAATTATGATTTTTGGTATATGTAATGAACGTATCTGTATTTGTACAATCTTGTTCTGACTGGCAATTAATTTTTGAAACCACTTATCTATTTATTATGTATTTTCAAGTAATACATTGGATGGGTAACATAAGTTAATATTTCGCATTACCAAGTTACCATAAAGGGCAATAAACCAGATTTACAATAAAAAACCTATCCAACTTCTTTCTATACTTTATAAAATGATAACATCCTGGATAAAATATAGTGATAGTACAAAAATAATCAGTTTATTTTAAATCTTTGTGCTATGAGTAAGATTCCTCAAAAGTTCCATTGAAAATATAGCCTTATCTTACACAGAATTATTTCAGTAATGCTACCAGTATCATGTTTTCAATGACTAATCTGGTTATCAAAAAACTTAATTAGAACATTCATCATCTCTTACAATACATGAAATTGAATGAAGATATCAAATCTTCGTGAATAGTCTGTTCTAAATAAAATGTCAACAATTATTCATCCCTCAGAAGTTTACTGTTTCATTATTGCTGTTTTATTTACCAGTTTCTATTTCTTCTGTTTATTCTTAATTTCTCCCAAAAATATTCATTTTTAGTTGTCTCATACTGAAACATTATCGAAAATATTTATGCCCTAGTTGACTGTCTGGTTCATAGCATTGCCCAAGTGATCACTGATACTGACATTACTATATTTACATAAAAAATGTGAGATCTTAGCTGGAAAGAACCAATGGTGGCGTCTAGAGAGTACCAGAAATAGAATGATATCTCTAACCTGCTTGAAAAATGTGTTATGATAACATCACTGAGATATGGTGTATCTCATTCACACCCAAGTTCAGGGTCAATTGACCGTGATTGAAATTTCCTAGAAAGGTCATAGATAAATTTAAGCAGTGACAGATTTTGTAAGTTTACCTTAGGGGCTCTAATTTGCTGAAAAGTAGGTATTGCTGAAATCTGTATTATGTATATTGGGATATATTTTGTCCATGAAATTCTGATATATCCCAAAACAATTGAAGACACAAGTAGATAAAGGTGTCATGTAACAAAATGGAGGAAATTGACGTTCCAACTTTTTACTCGAATGAAATTTTAAATATTTAGTTTAACTGGCTTATTATCTTGTTTTTGCAACAAAGTAATCACAGAGTGAAAGAGTCACTCCTTATGGTTAGTTTAATGCAAAAAGTAATTAAAAAAAAATGTTACATGCCACCTTATCCACGCAATTATGTATTATGAAAATAAAAATTTATGACATATTTTTACCAGAGATGGTAAATATCTCTATTTTTGAACATATGTGATATTTAATACTGTTACTTTTTGATGTCAGCATTAATGGGTATACTGATATCCTGAGCAAAATACCTTGATGAAATCACATGGAGCAAACTACCAATATATAAGGCCCCTTGAAGGTCATAGTATTTTTACGGTATACGATTCTCGACCTTAGTGCGTATGCTCATCTTGATTAGTGGTTTAGAAATATCAGTTAGTAAACCACAGTTCGTGAAATATCTGTCGCCACTAATTTGTATTTTTTTCCACATGGGGCATCTTATAAGGTTATCCTGAACAACAAAACGAGATTTTTTGCGTATTATTTTACTAACTGTTACCGGAAATTGTTACTAACATAAAACAAGTGTTGGTTGCTATAATTTCCGACTACGTTTTGTAACTTTGATAGCATGATCAAATTATTAATTAATAGTGCCTCCTATACGTTCCGAAGGTAAAAGCAGGGGGTGGCAAGCTAAAAGATTAATAAAACTACCAAAATAATATTTGGCGTTTATTTATACAGGGTGTAAACGTTATGATAGTCCTTATTTAAATGGGTGATAGAGGGGGTTAAAAGCAAAAAGTTTCATATAACATGGGGGTCAAAACGGCATTTTTTTTTAGAGAAAAGTTTAAAGTAAAATAAAATCTGACAACGCCGCAATGCCAGACGCAAATTACCACGGAACGCAGTGTAAATAAAGATGGAGTTTATTATTTTTGGCTCTTAGGTATTATTTCATTATTTGATAATGTACTCGTAAAATGCAAACAATTAAAAAAAACGGACTTACCACTAACTGTCTCAGCGCTTCAAATGGTGTGTGAAAGTTTATTGAACATATTAAAAATGTCCACTTATAAATAGGGAACACAATTTTGATACATACATTGTTTTTCTTTTTAAAACCCACACTACACTTTTTTTTGTATTTAAAGGTGTTCAAAATGTCGTCCTCCACTTTCCACACAAGCTTCATTACGACGAACTCAGTTTCTTCTTACTCTAGCTCCTCGAAGTTGTCCATTTATTATTCCAGCCGCATTAAATTTTTTTTAGCGAAGTTGTGCTTCAGTTGTTATTGGACTAGCCCCATAAACCATTCCTTTAAGTTCTCCCCAATACCAGAAATCCATCGGATTGAGGTCAGGAGATCTTGCTGGCCATTTTCGAGGATCAGGAGCATTTCGACCGATCCAGCGATTTGGATAATGTTCATGCAAATACTGAATGACGCCTCTAAAAATCTGTGGTGGTGCCCCGTCATGAAGAAACCACAAATTCTGTCTCCGTTGTAATGGTCCAAGGTCTGTTCCAAAAGTTCTGATAGGTTATTGGCTAGAAAGTTAAGGTATCTTTCTCCTAACAACATTTGGGGTAACTCGAAAGGGCCAATTACTTGATCGTCAAGAATACCCGCCCAAATATTTATTTTAAAACGTTGTTGGAAATGACCTTCACGAATGGTATGAGGATTTTCTTGGGCCCACGTGTGAGTATTATG